ATTTTTTAATTATTGTATACCTATCAATGCAATGAGTTCATCTTTTACATAGAAAACCACTGATATAATTGTTGCTACTTATCCTAGATACCAACTTCTTATTATAAAATGAGAGTAAACTTTGTTGCATCTTGGAATATTCAAGGCAATACAAAAATGTAAAATTTAACATCTTAGCTATGTACGAAGATCAAACACGCAATAAAATAAAAGAGAATGATGTAACGTTCATAAGACACCAGAGTTTTTATGTGGGAACCCCTAAAAGGGGTCCGACCCAGTTTGAATTAATCCACTAGTGTTTGCAGTCACTTACAAATGAGGCTCTTCATTGAGGGAAGGTCTTGGCTTGATTTAGTAAATATACATCATATAAAGTGCATTACATGGTGGGAATTTGAAAAATCAGTATTGGCATGTCATTTAAACAACATCACCATAATCAGCAGACTACGGAGGTCAGAAGGATCGTAGTTAGGTGATGGTGGTCAAAATGATCGTAGTCTAGCAACAGAGGTCAGAAGAATTTTAGTTTAGCTATGAAAGTCAGACGGACTGTAATAGACTAATAGGCATGTGATAGTGGTCAAAAAGATTGTAGTTTAGCAAAGGAGGTTGAAAGGACTGTAGTCGATGGGCAATAGTGGTCAGAAAGACCGTTGTCTAGTGATGGAGGTCGGAAGGACCGTAGTTGGTGGGCAACAGTGGTTAGAAAGATTGTTGTATGGCGGCGGAGATCAAAAGGACCGTAGTCAGTGGGGCAATAATAATTATAAAGATTATTGTCTTGCGATGGAGGTCAGAAGGATCGTAGTTGGTGGACAAAAGTGGTTAGAAAGACTGTTGTCTGACGATAGAGGTTAGAGGGACCATAATCAGTGTGCGACTGTGGTTAGATAGATTATTATCCTGTGACGGAGGTTGTAAGGTCTGTAGTCGGCAAGTGACAATGGTAAGAAAAAAACTATTGTCAAAGGAACCAACAACAGTCGGTAATCGGATGTAAAATTTGGCTTCATGTGGTGCCTAAGTGTTAATTTGGCAATAATTGGTGGATGTAAGAAAGTCCGGCGATAATCAGTGGTCAGGCGGAAGTTCAATGTCAATCGATGGTCAAGTGAAAATTCGACGATAGTCCGATGACGATCGTTAGTTCGACGGTGGTCGAGGAGTCTGGTGGCAAGAGAACTCTAGTTTCTCTCTCTTTCTTCTCTTCCTTGATTCGATTCTCTCTCCCTCCCCATAAGGAATGAGAGGTCCATTTATAGTTTTCTTAGAGTGACATGATCAGTAAATATGAGGGAGATCAATGATAGGTTTAGAGTCATTTGAATGGACGTTTGATATTGATTCCCTTAATCATGCACTGTTTATTGGGCATTTGAATGCCTAAATGGTGTTAAAATTAAACGATCTTAGGCTCGTTGGATTCATCTCGTCAAGCCACTCGATTAGATTATAAGCATGCCACATTTAGAAATGTTTGGTCGTCCAATTTATAGTTTGAACTTTCCAAATATGCTTTAGGTCTTCGATTTGGACCCATTTGAGCTTCGATTGGGTCGAATTTGATGTCGTTTGTTTTGTCTTTTTGAGATGTTAAATTTGACTATAAGTTTAAAGAAATCAAAGTTTATATGGCTCCAAATTTAATTTTGGAAGTTTCCAATTCAATTTTGCCTTAAGATTCATTCGAATCAAGATAAATTTTTGATGATATATAAGTTACCCCCTTATTTTAGCATCGAAGCTTGTAGAGTCCAAAAATACATGTCATAGCATTTTAAATTATTCGAATTGTAAAATTACAACTTTTAAGAAATTCGGAGGCACAATCTCTCTCTAGATATCAACATAGACCTCCCCTCTAGGCCGTGACCAAGTAAAATACCTTTAATTATAAGAGGCACAAGCCCTTATAGTTATTTATACTATGGATAACGATAGAGAACTTTTGATTAATATTAGTCATTAAGTAATAATTAAGTGCTCGACATATAATAATATCAAACATCATTTCATTCTACTTCTCAAAACTCAAATACACTAATCCATTTTATATTTAATCTATGCATCAAAAGAATTATATTGTATTACAAAATACCTCAACCATGTTTTTACGGTTTTACCCTTCTCTACTCCGTTAGGCCTTTCCTCTTCCTAAAATGTCAAAACATCCATTGAGTGAGCACAACTATTTCAGTAGACTTCTTTGATAATCCCATCACAAATATTAATATCTATTTAAATATTAATAACAATTTATTTAAATATTCAATAAATCAACAAAAAGAAACAAATCACTAATAAAAAAATTATTGGGATCATCATAGTGAACTTTTTTTTTTTTCTTTCTTTGATTTCAGAAGCATCACTTATACTTTCACATAAATACTAAAGATATCAGAGTGCACTTGTTATCATAACCTTGATTTCACTTAAACTTTCTTGTTCCATCAGAGGTTTTATAGAGATTTAAGAATGCATCTATAAGGCCCCAAGATAAAATTTTATAAAAATTATCTATTTTAATCTCTTAATTAATCAATCAGAGGTTCTATGAATTCACCAGCATAAATCAATGCAACTTAAACAACTAAAAATCATGTAAATACCAAATATAAAATTATATTCATTTACTCAAAATTCATATATAATAGTAAAGAATTCAATTCATACATTCATCATTTTATCTTTTAGCTTTAAACTACAAAAGAATAAAATTTATAAAAAAAATGCATAAATAAAATAAAATCTGAATCTCGGATCTATCCTCACCAACACCTAAGTTAGTTACCAAAACCTATAATCAAAATTAATGCAAGGTAATAAAAATAGTTTGTAAATAGTCATTAAATCACTATCAATAATAAACTATGTGACAAACAATATAATCAATTTAATGTCATAAAAACAATAAAATCAGTGTAAGCAACGCAATTCATGATCAATAATCATTAACTAAATTAACAATGGTCAATAAGTTTTGTCAATTCTATACACAATAATTACATAATAGTTTATATAACAAAATAATATATCAATACACATCTTTTTTATATGCATGTCGTACAGTGTATATGTTATACATATATATCATATAAATCATGCAATTCATATATATGATATACTTTTGTATCAATTTTATCGGTCCTATCATATACTTGTATCGATTATAACATATATTTTATAGAAAACAATCATATCACAAGTCATTTAAGTCATGTGACTTTCACATCAGAAGTTGTCACTTCTTGTCTGTCGATGTATCATATTGTATCAATATGTTTTCTTTAAAAAATATCATACAAATCTGTCTCTTATGCCTCTATTTTTATATAATTTAGGGTTACACCACAACAAACCTTATTTTAAAATAAAGCCTGTTTGTCCACCCTCCTGTACATGGTAACATATCTTTAGCAAAACTAAATCAAGCAATTATTTCTAGCAAGTCTTTCTTACATGCACATATTTTACAACATATATAACATAGCAAATAAGTGATATTATAGTTTACATTCAACTCATTGCATCAGTTTAGTTCATATAAAATATTCATATTAATCATGACTAGGGGCATGCATAAGAAAAAAATTAATATACTCATTTTCATATTTTTATGATGATAATGGATGAATTATATAATTATGTAAGTCATACAAAAGTATTATGAGATTTTGACAATTATTGATTCAAAATTTATATTTATCTAAATTTTTTCCAAAATATAAAATGAATTTTTACATACATAACAATTAAAACTATTATGTTTACATACATAACGCCTAAACTACCTTATTTACTTACCACTGTCTCCCGCCGACTACGACCCCTACAACCTCTGCCACTTGCCGACTGCGGTCCCTCGGACCATAGTCTCTTTCGAACTACGGTCCCTCCAACCAACATCGCCCGCTAACTATGGTCCATAGGATCATCATTGTCCACCGATTACAGTCCTTTCTACTGTTGTCGCCCGCCAACTACAATCCGTCTGGCCACTGTTGCCAACCGACTACGGTCCCTGTGACCTCCACCACATGTCGACTATAGTCCCTTAAACCATCGTCGCCCGTCGACTACGGTCCCTCCAACCAATGTCGCCTGTCGAATACGATCCCTCCAACCTCTATCACACGTCGACTATGATCCATCTAACCTCTGTCACCCGCCAACTGCGATCCTTCCAACCACCATTGTTCGTTGACTATAGTCCATCCAACCTCCATTGCTTGCCGATTAAGGTCCTTCCAACCTCCATCATCATGCGAACCAAATGAACATATCAACTTTCTCTTGAGAGTGGTTCCCTTAACATTTTATTCTTCCAGCCACCACCATGAAATGTGGTCAATGACATATATTACTATATCATGCTACCCCCCCCCCCCCCCCACCCCCCCCCCCCCCCCCCCCGCCCGATCATTTTTAATAAACAATAAACACCAGTTGAACCATTTTAACTGAGCAATGCATTGGGATTTTTATCATTATCAAGATTTTTCACATAAAAATCTTAGTGCCTCTTATGACTCTCTCGCCCCTCTCTCTTATCTATTTATGTGCTAGATTTTTGTACAAAACTTGAATGCTAAAGTATATATCAATCTACCACAACAAATATGTTAGTCTACTACAATAATATTATTTGACTCAAACTCTATTAAATCATTAAATTATAAACCTCTATTATTTTAGTTCAATTTATTTATTTATTTATTTTATTAGTTTGATTCTCACAAACTTACCAACAATTAATAACTAACAAAAAAACCTCACCTCTACTAAAAATGGATTATTGATATTTTATAAAAACAAAACAAATTATTATGTCATTTGTTCAAATTAAAAAACCACACGCAGGCGCGATGCGCGCAGATTAACCCCTCGCATGTGCGAAGTTCGCCCGTCGCACGCTTGCCAATTGTTGCCCGTTTACGCTGCCCGAACTGCCCGCTTTCTTCTACCAAGTACACATTTCCGCTCTTTGCCGTCTTGCGTGGTCTCTCCAATAAGGCAATATCCATCTCTCTCTCTCTCTCTCTCTCTCTCAGATCGCGGTTTCCGCGACCCAAATCTCTCAGAAATCCATTGCTTTTCGTCTTTCGTGTCCTTTCCCGTTCTCTCGGTCGCCCGATTTGATTCGATAGGTCGTCGTTCAGTCGTTGATGCCCGCTGTGAGAATTAGGGTTTCGGCGTTTTTGATCGGTGGATGAGCGTGACCGCGGCGGATCTAGGGTTTCCCGGATCGGTGTTGCGGTAGAAGGTCGGTGCCTAGGGGTTTATTGGTTCCGTCATCGGGAACAAGGGGATTAGTCCAAAGGTGGGGAATTGATGTGTCTCGCACGGGGAGGACGAGGGATCGGAACCAACAACGGCGGGGAAGATGCAAGGCTATGCATGGGCGGCAAGGTGAAGAGAGGAAACGGAGGCAGCACATGTGGTCGGTCCCTGCGCCCGGTACAGCAGCAGCAGTAGAGAAACCGGCTGTGATTCTACAGCCACCATCTCCGGCGGCCAATTTGGTCCAGACCTCTGCAGATTCATTCTTGAAGGTAAATCCTTTTCTTTGGTCTTGGTTAGGCGTGGGTATGCAGGTCTCTATAAGTCAGAGGAACTCAATTAGAGGAAGGAGGCAGCCTGTGAAGGGGATTATTGGTTTTTCTGTTTTTGAGCCTGTTTTCAGATTGAAGGATTCGTGGCCTTGATTCGGGTCTTGGGATTTGTTGGTCTGGGTTATAAAACTTAGGTTTTTGAACTGCTGATTGTATTCTGGGAGGTTTTCCGTTGTGGATCGTAAAGAATCGGGTATTTCGATTGTGTTTCTTTGTTCACAGTTGTTTTACGGGAAATTTTGGGATGTGTTGAGCAGGGTGTCCTTGTTTCAGTCGGGATGGTTTGCATTGTTATTTTTGTCTTTTATCCCCAAGGAAAAAACACGAATTGCTTGTTAACAGGATGAACTTGTTCATATTTTGCATTCTCTTGATGCATAGCTTTTATTTCTTTCTTTGCACGTCAAGAGCGTCTGATTTATTGATAGCCTACTTCTTCATCATAATGATTTCATTTGTGAACAAATTGGAGCTGGTAGACTGACAATGCAAATGAGTGCTTGCATTGCTTTAGTTTTGTAAAATTGTGATGAACTGTCATTTTATTTTTCACAAAGAGTTCATTTTTTCTTTCTTTCTTATAGGGGCTTTACTGGAAAGTTTGTATAATTATGAAGACTAAACTTTTTCCCCTTCTAGCATGGTTTGCAGGTTTTATCCTTTCTAAACTAATTTTGTTTTCTTGGCGGTATAATGATCTATATGTTTTATTATGGACTAGTTGTCATTTGTATCATCTTCATAATAATCTTGGTATCAATGTTTGACAAGCTAGAGCTCAAGGATTAACATAATTATTAGTCCCCTGCCATTTACTGTTTGGGAACATAATTATGATATATCTTACGCAATTAAATTTATATACAATTGGATAATTTTGACTTTAAGGATCAGCAGTCTCTGAAGCAACTTCATACTGTTTAATTCTACTTCTATAAGCTTGCTCAACCTTCATTATGTGAAAATTCCCTTTATTTTGTTATGTGAAATATGGATTTGGACTCTTCTGTTTTATCTATTGTTGTCTAAATTAATAAAATAAAGGAAGATGTTGCTGTAAGCGTTCCTATCTATGAAAAAGTGTGAAAGAAATCCTTGCAGAACTTGATTGCTTTGACATCTTAATATATCTCTCCTTATATTAAGATCTCTTGAATTTTTTGAAGCAATAATTTAAGTAGCTTTCATGTAGTATTCAATTTTTCTAGAAGGTGGATTTTTTCTATTTTATCTTTCTCTAAACTTTGTATTAGAGAAAACTTATTTATTCCCTGATAACCCATAAGGCCTTCAAGTGACATGACCTTCATATAATTTACCCAATGGACAATGGCTCCAATTTTGTGCTGTTATTATATACAAAGCTTTGTTAATGGAAAGTGTATTTGTATATATTTCTTGCATTCGGAGGTTTAGCATATTGTTTTTTTAATCTTTGTTTTTTTTCCTTCATCATACTTGTGCAAATTCAAAAAATCTCTAATGCATACAACTTTGAAGTGTTAGTGTGTTTTTCAGGCTTAATGTTATCATATTTGCTATTGTAATTTTTGAAATAGAAGTTGCACAAGAATATGTTCAGTTAAATTTTATTTATTTATTGATTTTTAAAGAGATTAAGAAAGGTAGAGGTAGGCCTAAAAGACTTTGTTAGAAAATATTAGTAATGACCTTTTTTTTATTAGATTTAAAGGAGAATTCGACTCTTAACAGGAAACAGTGGAGTAAAAGGATTCATGTAGCCTATCCCACGGAGTGGGATAAAGGCTTGATGTTGTTGTTGTATTGATTTTTAAAGAGAGAAAATGGATATATAGAAAGTTTTGGGGATATGAATGCTCTCTATCTTCAATGTATTGTATTAAAGAGTGTGCAGAAGAAGCATTTAGTCCAAAAAGCATCAATATTTGCACTTTCTTATCTTTTGGATTTCATGGTTATTGTGCTTCAAATTCTTGATTTGTATTTATGCGGTTATGCCTATGGTACACTTGAAAATACTTTGATCTTATATGATCCTGAATATTATAAGAAATTTCTGCTCTTCTATATTTTGTTTTCTATAATATTACGTTCTCTTTTTTCCTTGAATTATTGTTTGAGGGATGTCATGGAGTAAATAAATGACATTTTCTTGACTCTTTCTCACTTTGGTGCGTGTGCATTTTTTCTTAGCCAGTCCATTCACCTTGATTCTTTGGTTCGGTGTGTTTTGTCAATACAAGAGGCAGCTTATCTTATATGGATGACTCATTTTTTGTTATTATTGAATGATTTAATGTTTAAGATGTTGGTCCTTGTTGATGGTCTGATAGTTTTTTAAGTTGTGCGCCGGTTGTGTATTTTTTTTTTCTAATGCTTTTTAACTCTTTGTTGGCAAGTAGAACTTTGATATTAACAGATTTTGCTGTATCGATTGCTAAACTTTATAATGTTACTGTGGCAAGAGTTTTAAGCTATAGCAGGCTGTCTTTCTGCATGCTAATTTCTTTTTTGTGTTCCTGAAAGCGGGTGCTTGTTTATCATTATATAATTTGGTGAAAATCTGTAATATCTTGATCACCTTGGGCTTCTGAAAAAAAAGTTTTACTATGGCTTCATTTGGGACGGCTTTCTTTCTGTTTCTTAAAGCAACTTCCTAGTATTTTGTTTCTGCCATGCATAACTTACCTATGATTGTGTTGAAATATCCTTATATCTTCTTATTTTGTCTCTTTCAATATATGTTATTCTTTGAATTTTTATGAAGATAGTTTGGTAATTACTTGTTAGATCTGTCTTTTATGCAATTAAGATAACATGTATCTTTGCTTAGCAGGACGGCCGGAAAATTCAAGTGGGTGACTGTGCACTTTTCCAGGCTGGCAATGCCCCACCTTTTATTGGAATAATACGGTGGTTTTCGACTGACAAAGAGGCTCATCTCAAATTATGTGTAAATTGGCTTTACCGACCTGCTGACGTAAAGCTTGCAAAAGGCATTTTACCAGAAGCAGCTCCCAACGAAGTCTTTTACTCGTTCCACAAGGACGTAATATCGGCTGCTTCTTTGCTTCATCCTTGTAAAGTAGCATTTCTCCGCAAGGGTGTTGACCTGCCATTGGGAATATCTTCATTTGTGTGTAGGAGAGTATATGACATAGCTAATAAGTGTTTATGGTGGCTAACAGATCAGGATTATATAAATGTAAACTTTTCTACCTTGAATTTCTTTCTCTACTTGTATACAAAACATGGATGATTTTTAAATGATTAATGCTTCCTTATGACACTGACGTTTTATGTCAGGAACATCAGGAAGAAGTAGATCAACTATTGGATAAGACTCGGCTAGAAATGCATGCTGCAGTGCAGTCTGGGGGACGCTCTCCAAAGCGATTGAATGGTCCAGCATCGGCGGAGCAGTTAAAATCTGGTTCAGATAGTGTACAGAACAGTGGGACTTCCTTTTCTTCTCAACTCAAGGGTAAGAAGAGGGACAGGGGTGACCATGTAACCGACCCTAACAAGCGAGATCGGGCTTCGAAAGCCGATGATGGTGATTCTACTGGTTGCAACTTTGACAACAACATGTTTAAGTCTGAGATCTCTAAAATAACAGATAAAGGGGCCCTTACAAGTACTGATGGGGTTGAGAAGCTGGTTCAACTGATGCAAGTTGATAATAGTAAGAAAATAGATTTAACTTGTCGGGTTCTATTAGCAGATGTGATTGCAGCTACAGATAGGGTAGACTGCCTGAACAAGTTTGTACAGATCAGGGGCGTGCCTGTTTTGGATGAATGGCTTCAAGAGGCTCACAAAGGGAAAGCTGGTGATAGGAATAGTCCCAAAGAGAGTGATAAAGCTGTGGAAGAGCTTCTGTTGGCTTTGCTTCGTGCGCTAGATAAGTTGCCTGTCAATCTTAATGCCCTCCAGACTTGTAATATTGGAAAGTCTGTAAATCATTTGCGCAGTCATAAGAACGTGGAGATTCAGAAGAAAGCTAGAAGTCTCGTGGACACATGGAAGAAAAGAGTTGATGCGGAAATGAAGACTAATGATGCAAAACCTGTTGGATCTGGCCAAGCCATGGCATGGCCGGTCAAACAGGGTTTCTCTGAGGTTTCACATGTAGGAAACAGGCGAACTGGATCGGGTGATTTATCGTTGAAAAGTTCAATAACTCAGCAATCCACATCAAAGAGCTTAGCTGGGAAGTCTGTTCATGCAGATACTGTGAAGTCGACAGCTGTTATTGTGGGATCTGGGAAACAGCAAGCATCTTCTTTGTCATCTGGAATAATTAACTCAAAGGAGGTGCTTTCAAAAGTTGCTGTTGGCAGCGGGATTTCTGATCTGCCACAGATTGTAGTGAAGGAGGAAAAGAGCAGCAGTTCAAGCCAGTCTTGCTCGAGTGATCATGGGAAGACTGTTGGCTCTTCCTTGAAGGAAGATGCTAGGAGCTCTACTGCAGGATCAGTGAATGCCAATAAGACCTCTGGCGGTTCATCACGCCAACGAAAGTCTAACAATGGTTTTATAGCTAGCAATATATCTGGGGGGCACAAGGATTCTAATGCAAGCAAATCAGTCTTACTTGTCAGGAATTCGACGAGTGAGAAGTTAAGTCAGGCTGGGATAAATTATGAGAAAACAACGGATGCGTCTGCTTCAGACCATGGAAGTAATCATAGATTGATTGTTAGGCTTCCTAATCCTGGTCGCAGCCCTGCAAGAAGCACCAGCGGAGGCTCCTTGGAAGACCCTTCAGCTGGTAGCAGAGCATCATCTCCTGGTGTCCCAGATAAACCTGAGCGTGGAGATCGGAAGGTGAATGGAAGGGATGATGTTGTTAGAACTTATACTCCTGCAGATTTCAATGGAGAATCATGGCAAAGCAATGATGTTAAGGAGGGATTAGTCGCATGTGATGAGGGTGATAGATCACCTGCTATTATACCTAATGAAGAAGTAAGAACGGCTGATGAAACTCTGAGGGCTATAGAAATTTCTAGAACTGCCTGTTCATCATCAGGTAATGATAAGGGTGTCAATGTTAGTGAACCCAAGATGAGGAATTCTTTTAGCTCCATGAATGCGTTGATTGAAAGTTGTGCTAAATATTCTGAGGCTACTACACCTTTATCAGGAGGAGATGATATAGGCATGAATTTACTTGCGAGTGTGGCTGCAGGAGAAATTTCCAAATCTGATATAGTTTCACCCCCTCCATCTCCAGGAGGTTCTCCTGCAACTGAGGGCCCTTGCAGTGGCATAAATGAGGCTAAGTCTAGGTTTTCTGCTGGCGATTCTGGGTTTCGAAATCTTGGCCCTTACGATGAAAATACTGATTTCAACTCTGAGAAGCATGGAAAGAATAATATTCCCTTGTTTCCTAAGGATGAGATACAAGAGGTGGGTGTGAACTTCCCATGTGATAACATTGGTGCCACCCCTGTGTTAGAAGACAGAACTCAACAAAATGGGCTTCTTCCTGGTACGATTATTTGTAAAAAAACTGTGGAACATTGTTTTGTCATTGGATTAATGTCAAGAATTATTGTCGTATGTTTTTAATCTTACAGATATAAAAGAAAAGCGGGAGGAGGATGAACATCAGAACCAGGATGATCGGAGGATTGGTGGGCAGGTTGCAGATGTTCTTACAGATTGCAATTCTGAGGTAAGGAGCCCAACAGATCAAATCAAAACCAGCTGCTCTGTTCATGAAACGATTGTAGAAGGAAGCAAGTTCACATCTGATTCTATTCGCAAATCTTTGCCTCACGGGATTGACTCTGAGGGTTCTGCATCTTGTAAAAATATTGATAAATTAGTGATTGGGGATTCATCAACAGCTCATCCTTTTGAGGAGAGTGTTCAGGTTACTGCCACATTAACCGGACAAAAACCACTTTCTGTTAATGAAACCGAAACAGTGGTGGAAAGAAAGGGGGTTGATGGACCTGCTTCCTCTCTTATTGATAAGCTTCCATGCCCAGAAAATGCTGATTCAACAAAAAGTAAGATGATTGATAGCTCAGATGGTCGATGCCAAGACCAGACTGAAAGGAATGGATCAACCATCCCTGCCACAAGCAACAAAGCATATCTTGCATCAGTTTCCAGCACTCATGGCAAGCCCAATGGTGCAGAGACCGTAGGTTCGGGTGATCGTGATCAAATGCCCACTGTACATAGGGAAGCTGAGGCATCTGCTAAAATATCTGCCGCTGATGGAGAAAGAAAGGAGGAAGTTTCAGCTGACATTTTGTCATTTGCTACCACTACCGAGCAAGATGCCGGGGCTAAGCTTGACTTTGACTTAAATGAAGGTATACTTGGAGATGATGTGAATCAGGTTGAGCCAATTTCAGCAGCTGCACCTGTTTACTCGCCTGCAATAAGAATCTCAAGTTTCTCATCTCTTTCATCTTCTTCGCCCATTCTAAACGGATCGCCAGCTCCCATAACTGTTGCTGCTCCAGCGAAAGGATCTTTTATGCCTCCTGAAAATTTGTTGAAGAGTAAGGGTGAACTGGGATGGAAAGGCTCTGCTGCTACTAGTGCATTTCGCCCTGCAGAGCCTAGAAAGGTTTTGGAGATGCCGCTCAATACTTCTGATGTGCAGTCATCGGACTCTACCACGACAAAGCAGGGACGTCCTCCATTGGAAATTGATCTCAACGTTCCTGATGACAGATCTTTGGAAGATGTAGCTTCTCAGAGCTCTGCTCAGACAACAGGTTCTGAGTCAGGTGTGATTAGTAACCGTGATTTACCTGCAAAAGCTGGTGGAGGACTTGATCTTGATTTGAACAGAGTTGATGAAGGTGCAGAAAATGGTCAGTTCTTGGCCAGCACCAACCATCGATTGGAAGTACCACTGTTGCCCACAAAGCCAGCGGCAAATGGATTCCCTAATGGTGAGGTCTATATGTTAAGGGACTTTGATCTTAACAATGGACCTGGCATTGATGATGTCGTTACAGAGCCACTTCCAAGAAGCCAAAATATGAAGAACAGTAATAATATACCATTTGTTCCTCCTATTGTTGGTCTCAGAATGAATAATGCTGAACTGGGAACTGGCTGGTTTCCAGCTGGTAACTCCTACCCGGCGGTTACTATTCCATCATTCTTGTCTGATAGAGAGCAAACTTACCCAATGGTTGCAGCTGCAGGGGCCCAGAGGATTTTGGGGACCGTAACCAATGCCGGTTCGTTCGGAAGTGATATATATCGAGGACCAGTACTTCCATCTTCGCCAGCCATGGCTTTTTCGCCAGCTGCAACTGCATTTTCTTATGCTGGTTTTCCCTTTGGCTCCAGTTTTCCTTTGGTATCTACATCTTTCTCTGCTGGATCAACAAACTATGTTGATTCTTCATCTGGGGGACCATACTTCCCTCCCATCCCTTCTCCGCTTGTTGGAGCTGCAGGTGCTGTTTCATCCCCTTATGCCAGACCCTACATGGTAAGTCTACCAGAAGGCAGTGCAGGTGGTGGATCTGATGGTAGTAGGAAATGGGGGCGGCAATGTCTAGATCTCAATGCAGGTCCGGGAACTGCAGATGAAGTAAAAGACGACAGAGTGTCCTCAACAAGACAGCTTCATGCTGCCAGCTCGCAGAGCTTCATGGACGAGCAAGCAAGGCTATATCAAGTTGCAGGTGCTGTGTTAAAAAGGAAGGAACCAGATGGCGGTTGGGAACCGGAAAGATTCACTTTCAAGCAGCAGCCTTCATGGCAGTAATACCAGCGATGATATTCGTCGGTGATGGACGTGTGTGGTGAGCTACCAGCTAGATTTTCTGTTCTCTCTCTCTTTTTGTTTTTTTTGGTTCTTCCCATCACTCAAAATATGATAGTGTTAATGATATGTATTTTAATTCTAATGCATCTGGATAAGTAATACCTTGAATTGCAGGCTCGGGAGTTTGCGGATTGAATCAAAATTTTCTTTCTCACTAAGTTACACACACACTAGATCATATCTGTCCTGGAGTTTGCCTCAATGGTGTTATTGGGCTCATTCAGATGGAATCCTCGATGTAATTCTTGTAAATGTTGAGATACCATGCTATGCTAGAAACCAATTTTTCATGGATCTGGTACTTTTTCTTTGTTTCCATGCACCAAGCAAAAAACTCCAGCCATGGTGAAGCTAGAGGATGAGCTTCTACGACTGCCATAGAGAAAGGTAACCGAATTAATTCTCCGATTTCTCTTGGCCTCTTCCCAACTGTGACTGTATTCCGAAGGTATTCTGAACTGTACCTGGAGATTAGGTGTTCTTTGTAGATATGTGACTTTAACATGCTTGTTTGAGTTTCTTTTCTCCAGAAACTTTTAACTTGCCAACAATGGCAAATGCTGTTTTGGTACATATGCTTTCCATCTGGAACACCCTCAATGGCACAGAACTTACTTGACTGGATCATATTGTATGCACTGTGCTAAGAACATAAGAATATTGTTTGTATTTATAGTTTAGATTCCCTTCCCTGCTAAATTTTGTCTCTCTCTCTCTCTCTCTCTCTCTCTCGTTTGTGTGTCGATATGAACAGAGAACCCATGCTCACCTTTTCTGAAGAATTACTCGTATTTTCAGCTTGTTTTTTATGTTTTCTGATTGTCATTCTAATCTTCTTTTTCATTCCTTGAATTATGGTTCTGTTTATGCTCAGAATTCGATTCTTTTTCAATTGAAAATAATTGAAAATTCATTTTGTGACGAATGATAAGAGAGGTTCTACAAATTCTGATGTGATGAGTGTTTGTGATTCAGTTTCCACTTTGTAGATCAGGTGGAAATGTAAATGTAATGAGAAGACTAAAGATCTAAAGTATGGTAATCTTCTTCATATTGTTTGTTGGCTACAGAATCGAGATGATGAGTGATGGGCTTAAAAGGAGGTTCTTTTCAAATGGTGGTTGAGATTCATCAGAGAAGGTATAATCAAAGTAGATATGATTGATAGTATTGTTGTCAAGTGTCAAAACCAACTACTTATATTTCTTGAAATCAATTTAGATTCATTCTTGGTAGGTCTATTATGGAAGTTATATATTTGTTTAGAGGTTTGATGGAGATGTAAGGAGAGAGTAGAGAAGATTTACCTATGATATTTATTGATTTAGAAAAAGTACATGTGATAAAATTTTCACCGAATTACAAAAGTGCTTTCAAGAGTTATTAAAAAAATTAATAATGCTTATATTTTGGTCATTAGTTGTTATTAGTGTTCAAATATAATGTGGTTTAATCAAGTATTTTTTTATTGTAGTTGTATTACATCAAGGATAAGCTTAATGATAAGATTAGCGAGAGAGTTATGAAAAGCCTGAATTTTGGAGGTCAACTTTAGAATATAAAGATTTTTGTTGAAGTATATTTAAATTTGAGTATATGAAGTATAATTTTAGTAGTAATAGATATAATGGTGGGATTGTGAAATTGAGTGATCAAATCATAAAAAAAGTGCACGTTTTAGATATCTCAAGCTTGCTGTTTAAATCGATGGAAAAATAGATGGGATGTTATTAGTAGAATTCAAGTTGGATGATTGAAATGGATGAATGCATCGCGCCTATTTTCTGATCGAAAAGTCCTATTAAAATTTAAGGAAAAATTTTATAAGATGGTGATGAGACTTATAATGCTTTGTGGTGTAGAATATTGGCCATTAAAAGAGAGTATAAAATTAAGTTAAGTGTTGCATAGATGAAATTGATTCTCATATAGAGTTTTCAATAAGTTGAAAAGAGCTAATGAAGGGGAGAGTAACCATCTAGGAGAAGAGTTTAATCCATAATCATGATAATCAAATAGCCTTGATGTAATATATAATAAAGAATTGATGTGGTATTTATAAGGAAGAGTAATAGTATTTTATCCACAAAATAATAACAAAGAGACTGCTGAGAGAATGAAAGTAGAAAGTATTGGATAAGAGAGAGAAAGAATGATTATTATGTATGCTTCTTGAGTTAGAGAGAAGAGGAGATTCATAGAGAGAGAATATGCTGTATCAGATTTAATTTGTGGATAATTAGTTTATTTGATCTACTTAATAATTAAAGTAGCATGCAACAACCAAATTGCTCATGAGCTCAACAAATATCAAGAAAACATTGGACCTAAATTATTAGGGAGTTAGATATAATAACTACTATTTAAGGTTAAAAGAAAAGATCAAAATTATCAACAATATAATCTTTATAATTATTCAAACAAAATGACAACATTTAGTTTGAGGTTAGTTTTATACTCTAAAATACAGTAAAACTTCAAAATAATGTAATTCATCTCCAATCGAATTTCATTTCTCTCCCCTTTCGTGCGATTCTTGCGAAGATAATCATCTCTTTCCTTTTTCGCATGCTTTTCTCCTCTTTCCAGCTCTTCTTCGACAAAATTGCAAGCTAGAATTTTTTTGAGTAGGTGAACAATCCAATGCCAATATTGGCGTCAATTGTTCACCTACCGAATTTTGGTGTCAGATTTTGAAGTTCTAATGCAGCAAATGAAAGACAGCATACGATGGTATGCAGTTCAATTGAAGATGATCTAAGTGCTTTACAAATACTCGAGCTTGACAATTAGCTGTGATGGCAACCTCTTCAATATAGGTCTTCACAAAGAAGAATTGTGGAACTACACCTCTTTTAAATATAATTGAATTATTAGTATATAATCTTCTACATGGTTGATTTTCTACCACAATGCTTTCAAATGCAAAGTAAATACTATTATAGTATTGATATACAACTCTAATAGCCCTCACTAAAAGTGCTATTATCACTTTATTTTTTAATTAAATTCATTAATATCATTCTATTAAAAAAAAATACATTCAAAATAATTCTTTTTGTCTTAAACTCTTGATGTAACAATTTCTACTAATATGTTGATAGACAATTATTATCATGCTTAATTCTAAGTACTAACTTGCTAATCTTGTTTATTAATATAATATTAGCCTATAGTAATATGGAAATAATCATCGTTATTATCAAGTTTGCATTTATTTGACTTAAACATTATAGAAAAGTCTTCAAATTAAAATAAGACAAATATTTTCAACTTACAAGAAAATAAAATAATAATTCAACAATACAACATTACTAAATAAAAAAAATAGCATTGGCATTATATTCTAGGATGCGACAAAAAGAAAAAAATATTAAGTGCAGAGTCCGGACGGCGACAAATGAATTTTCTCTCTTATATATATGATGTTTATAAGAGAGAGAAAATTCAAATGTCTTCATCTAATTGGAGTCCAAACGAATATTCGAACTCTACACGTACTAATCTCTCCTAAAAGCATGGAGGCCACAGAAAACCCTCCTAAGCCACAGGAAATTATTACATCCGGTCACCGGACGCCGAGAATAAGTTTGGACATCCAATAAAAACTTGCCACGTCACCTCCGCTTTTGACTGCACTTTAGGTGTGCTTTGACTGTGCTTTGCCTGCTCTTTACCTACGCTTTTGACGCGCTTAATTTAAAATAATTTTTATTAATATCCGGACCTATCTTCGCGTCTGATTACCCTATGTAATAATTTACCCTAAGTCGCAACAATTTAAGAACCCACCCCTAACCTTTATTTTCATCTACATCATCATTACTGTCACATGAAATTGTGGAACAAATCGCTTTCATGATGAGTCATGAAAGAACCATTTGTTTTTATCTTTTGGATGACCAGTGATAATTCTTTCTTCCTTGTTGGCCAAGTTTGTTCCCCTGTCTACATCTGAACTCTTGAAAGTCACTTTCTGATTTTCTCTCTCTACATTATTTATAAACGACACTCACATGCCCCATACGCTCATTGTCTTTAACTTTTTTTATTTCTTTATCGTTTCCTCTCTAGTTTTTTTTCTCTCTGAATAGAGAGAGAAAATCACAGAGAAAAGTTTGGGGATCACGTGGAATAAAATAAATCAATCGATCTGTCAGTGGATTGCTATCTATATTGAGAGAGAAAGATGGAAAGAGAGAGGTACAGCTGAATGAAGAAACTCCGAGGATTGTAGGGCCGACTATAAACGTCGCAGCAATAATTGCCAAAGTGGCCGAAATTTCATATAAAACCTCCACTATAAAATCTCTTCATTGAAATCTGGAAAAATTGTTTCATCTGGTCGTTTGGATTCGTCCGGAGGCGAATCCGGACGCACCACGTCACTCGGAGTCAATGCATTCGAGTGATGTGGCGCATCTGAATTCGCCTCCGAACAATCCGGACACCGCATCTAATAATCTATCGAAAATTTGAGCTTTTAACTAACATATATTAAGATGATGCTGCACCAATTTGCCCACTAAATTATTGAAGAATAATATATATATTCATAAGATTTGATTCATTATTATTGTTTCACGAATCATGATGCAGATGGCGTAGTCTTCAAACCAAATATTTTCACTGTATACTCGTGACCTTCATGAATTGAAGATCTTTATAGTTTTTTAATCAAGTTACACCTCTTGTACTCATAATTGCAAACAAGGGAAATTCTATTTTTAATTTCTTCACTAGAATAATTTTCAATTTTTGAATTAAAATTCATGTTTTCCGCCTGCATGTGGGCTGTGAAAATTAGTGCCCCAGCATGTCTTACTTTGGGGGATTTTTAACGGATTAAGTTATGGAGTAAATTTTCAAAAAGCAGATTGAGTTTGTAGATAAGATACTACCCAGAGATTTCACCCTCATTTTGCGAAATTTTTATTACGTCCTCCCACCTGACGTAGAGATACATCCTCCCACTGCCAAAAAACTCGGTTTTTGCTCGGTATTGCTACGTATTATTTGATAATAACGAGGAATATCATCATGTGAAGACCAATACCGAATTATACCGAGCTATACCGAGCAATACTGAGCAATACAAAAAAATATCGAGTTTTTTCTAGGAAAAACTAGGTATTTTTTTGTATTGCTCGGTATAACTCGGTATAACTCGGTATTGGTCTTCACATGATGATATTCTTCGTTATTGTTTGGTATTGCTCGGTATTTGCTCGGTATTTCTCGTTTTTTAGCGCGATTTTAGCTCTGGAAGGACGTATCTCTACGTCAGGTGGGAGGACGCAATAAAAATTCTTGCTGATTTTATGATTGAGTTTTGATTTCCTATAGGCGCAACCTCCTATAGTTTAAGTACCTCTCCCGATAACGAAAGAGAAGTGAAAGTTTCAAGCGTTGGAAGGAAGCAAAGAAGAGTTGTGTAAGGCTAACGAGAGCGGAGATGAGGCTTGCACGTGCTCTATTTGAAACAACACCATTGTAGAGGTATGGGGTACTGCAGCAAGCAGCGATTTGGGCAGCATTCGATAAAGGGATTTGGAAGAGGTATGTATTTTTTATTAATATTATTATTATTTTTCTCCACAGCAGTGGCCAACACTGCATAAATAACCCACCAACTCAACACTTCAGCAGCTGTAAACCGAAAGAGACGTGCGTAACAGCAGATATCTGTGAAACCATACCACAAGAGGAAATAATACCAGCAGATCTGAAGGAAGCAGCTCCAAGAAGCAGAAACACAAGGAAAAGATGAACAATAAGAGAATAAACCAACAGAGCACAAATCAAGCAGAGCAACCCAAGCTGACAGCAATTGATGAGCAACACTAGAAAAGCTGAAATTCACCAAAGTCTAGATTAACAACCAAAAGAACCCAGCAGTACCAACCAACACTAGCACAAGAGACAGCCAAGAAAATAGTTATGATGAGGACAAGAAGCAATCAAGCAGCAATTTTCCTGAAGATGCAGAGCTAGATTGAGAGAAAGGGAAGTTGGATGGAATGAAATAGCATGCATAAAACTGGAAGCAAAGATGTAAAAAAGATGGAAAAGGTGCATATGAGAAATATGCTTGCAACAGCTATAAACAAATAAACCAAATGAGATCTGAATACCTGCGAACGGCGAACAGTCATAAGTTGGAGAAATTATTCTGTGCGGAATCCGGTTATAGAGCTGTGTTCGGATGCTTACGTGGAAAGTTAAAAGTCCGCGATATTTATTTGACTTGCGTATTGATTGAGTATTTATTGCGTAAAAATGTGCATATTGATTGAGTATTTTATTGCGTATTCATTGAGTATTTGTTGCGTATATGTTACACATTTTCTGCTTATTTACTGCTTATTTGTTGCGGATTTCACTTCATCTACAGTAAGCCCGAAAAGACAAACGGGTCGGGTAAGAAGTCAAATGAATATCCTAACTTTCCACGTAAGCACGCCACATATAATTATTTTACTGGCTTCCGAACACAGCTGTATAACTGGATTCCGCACAGAATAATTTCTCAGTTAGTTACACCTTATCTAAATGGTTAGAACTCGAAGTAATGTATGAACTGTGCGCTATTACCATAAGAAAACGCTTATACAATTGCATCATCATTTAAAGTGCCAAATAGCAGCTAAGCACTGGAAAATGTTCAACAAATAGTCCAGGAAAACTTTACTAGTTAGAATTACAAGAAAAAATGCATTCCAAACACCCTCAAAGGGCTTTCGTTTTGGTATTTTAGTTCAGGTATTTTAGTTCATATTTGTTGCGTGCCAAAATAGGAACGTTAGTAGAGTGAGAGTAATTGTCTTAACTTTGTAAGAAGATCCAACACCTACAGAAAAAAGAGGAGATATAAGAGATATCAAAACTTTAAACAAAAATTTTTAAAAAGAGGAAAATCATGGGGCCTGACTTAGTTGAAATGATTCCACCGGTGTTTGACATCAATTACAAATGATGCACTTTCTCAGATGAGACATTGATACAATATAATAAACAATGTATAAAACGTATTAAATGGTAAAAATTGGAAAAGACCTGTGACATTGGAGCCGTCTTTAAGAAATTGTTTGTTTGTTTGTTTGATTCAACTCATTTTTGGAAAGAACACCAAAGACTAAGATGTATAGTATAAACCCTGGTGCTAACGTCAAATGTCAAGGATTGTGTCAACAACATGCATCAATCCGATTAGTCATGTCGTGTATATTATTATTAGGGATTATAGGTGGAATTCAGCTAGCATCGATGTCGCTAGTCAACTATAGGTTAGCCGTAGTTAAGCGAATGTGTTTGAAGGACCGCACTTGAGCGACAATGGTTGAAGATTATAGTCACACAATGGTGATAGTCAGAGAACTATAGTCAAGTGATGGAGGTTGAAAGAATGCAGTTGGCGACGATTATCGAAGCACCATAATAGGGGGGATGGTGGTTGGAGGATCGTAATCAGAGGATGGTGGTCGAAGGACTATAATCGGGAGATAGGGTGATAGGAAATACTTGAGTTCGCAAGCAAACCTAGCAATAACCGGTAAAAACAGTGAGAAATATGCTGATTTCAGAGAGAAGACAATAAAACGATGCATGAATTTAAGAATATTGAGAGAAACACAAGGAAAACTTCTTGTATTCAATCCACGAACAAGAAAAACAATACATGATACAAGTTTCTTTTATTTAAAGGATCGAGAGAAGAGCTGTAGCAATCGTGGAAGAGAGGAGGCGTCGGTGTGAAGAAACTGAGCGATCGGCTTCATTTTATAACCGCGAATGGGAGGCGATCGAAGCCGTCGTCGCAGGATTCGCGGAGAAGCGACGCGAACGGCGCCGAACAGGTACTAAGTTACGGGATTTCCGTTTGAGTTCGGCGTGATTTCTGCAGGATTTACGCATGAAATAGGGATCCAATGGACAAGGTATGTACGTAGGATTTCCATTTTGCTTCTCTCTTTCGTTTCTTTTGGGTATAACATGAGGGTTAACAAACCCGCCTCCAAAAAGTCACATGCACCCACCCCGAAGTAAGCATTTACAAACCTTCAAAATGACATGATTCTCAAATTCTAGACTTGGGTTTTGTTTGAGACTAATTTTTTGATATTTTTTAAAATAATTTTTCTTAGTTAAAAATTTTCTAATTCAAAAAATTTTTTTATAAAAAAATTATTTTAGAAAGCAGTAAGAAAACTGTTCCAAACAAAGACTTGATAATACCTATCATAATGGGCGGATCCACCTTAAGGCTGGGAGGCAATTGATTCCCCCCTCTGAAAAAAGAAAAAAAAATCTTTATTGTATGATTTTTTAGGTAAGTTATCTCCCTTCATGTATTTTATAGTCTTTATTAGAAGGGTTTTTAGGCAATTTGCCTCCCCCCCTAAAAGTTTTAAAATAATATGGTCTTTAGGAAATTGTCCCAACATAATTAAACACATTGTGTAAAGATGTTATTGTTAGGGAATGATGAACTAAATACAAAGAGAAATAGTAAACAGAATAAAAAAATATCCTTACAACTAAAACTTGTGCCCGCAGGGGTGCTGCCCCTTGACCCGCGACTTGACCGCGCAAGTCGAACCCCGCTAGGGGCGCTGCCCCCTTGGACCCCCGACATATCTTTGAAGTGTACAATGATGAACAAATAGGGGTCAAGAGGCAACGCCCTCAGAACAAAACTCTACACTTTTACTTATAAGTTTGCTTCCCCTGAAAATTAAGGCTAGATCCACCCCTAGCTATCATGCAACACTTAGGGAATCTCCAACCGAACGCTAAACGAGTGTATGGAGTCGTTCCGTCGCTCCAACCGAACGCGAAAATTTCCGCCATTTAATCGCAGGTGAACAGTGCGACGCCAATATTGGCGTCGCACTGTTCACTCACCAAAATGAGGGCGAAATCTCTGGGTAGTGTCTTATATACAAACCCATCTGCCTTCCAAAATTTACCTCGGAACTTAGTTCGTTAAAACTCCCTCGCCGAATAAGAAAAGCAAGTGGAGGCCGAGGCCGAATTTTTGGAGCCCACACCCTAAAAATTAAGACTAGATCCACCCCTGGCTATCATGCAACACTTAGCATGCAATCCTATGAAGAGAAATGTGAATTAATCAAAGCACTTCTTTAACTTTCCAACTGAAAGCACATCACACAATACATCAAACAAGAAACATTCCATGAAAATAACTAATTAACAATAGAATTTTGAATAAGTTTACATCAAACATTAAACATATAGCAATAAAAATCAAATATAAAATAAATGTAAAATTATACTTCAAAACATTAAAATAACTTGTCTATAGATAGTTGACAGAATTTGCTACTAAAAATAGAGTTATATATTTATTTATTTATATATTTAGATCTATTTGATTTGCTGAAAATTGCATGCAAATTATTTCAAATAAAGAGGATTTGAAAACTTTGATGTTTAATCTGTTGAAAAATAAATGCAGAATAAAGTTTTGTTGAATATTTTTATGCACTCTAAATTCACACATTTTCAAATGAATTCGAAAAGACACCAGTTTCACATCATAAGTAAACTCCTTACTCCTCTGTCTTCTGTTGCCACCAATTGTCATCCCTCTCCCCATTGGATCTCACTCGCCACCGCTGGCCATCACATGTTGCATTGGTTGTCGCCCGCCCACCTCCTCCGCCACTGTCAATTCCCACCCGCCCACATCTTACCACCTTTGCCAGCCCTTGCTACCTGCCGCCTTCTACCATGCTGCCGGCCACATGCTGCTCCCATCATTTAATTTTATGTTGAGTTTATTTTATTTCAATCCAAACAAAAATAATAATAATCCCTTGTATTTATTCAACACCTATTGTTTGACAAAATTTAACCAAAGGCTCGTTTTTAAAAGTCTGCTACTAATATTTTAAGTACTTGTATTTTTAGCCATTTGTATATTTGATTTACATTACCTTTTTTAGCAGTCAATATTCTAAATTAAGTAGCACTACACATTGACCATTAGTGCTGTAATGGTATATATTCAATATATTGCCAAGTCATTTTTGCACAACAAGACTTGTTTTTATTTATTTATTTATTCTTCTTTCTGTTTCTGCTGAGATCAACAATGGCCAAGTCTTCGAGTCTTTCTTTCTTTCTCTTAATCCTCATTGTTTTTGCCTCAGGTATGTTTTTTGCAAGCAATCTCAAAATTTATCAAATGATTTCTTCTCCTCTTTTTTTTGTTTCTGTGCCTGTAAAAAATCATTGTTTTTTCTTACAATATGCACTACTATTAACATAAGCTTTCACATCACTTTTCAACCCTACATTAGCTGTAAAAACTCCATCCATTTGATTTGCAGCAATTTCAAAATCATTGTGCATTCGTCGTATTTGTAATCGCTGCAAATGGTTTCCACAACGCTATTTAAACAGCTGCAATAGATGTAGTTTTTGACAGCGTTTGCTTTAGCAACGATCTGTTTACCAAATGATTTCTTCTCCTCTTTTCTTGTTTATGTGCCTGTAAAAAATCATCAAAATCATTATTTTTTCTTACAATACACACTAATATTAAAATAAGCTTTCACAACACTTTTTCAACCCTACATCAACTGTAAAAACACCAACCATTTGATTTGCAGCGATTTCAAAACCATTGCACATTTGTCATATTTGTAATCACTACAAATGGTTCAGAACGCTATTTAAATAGCTGCAATAGATATAGTCTTTGATAGCGTTTGCTTTAACAG